AACTTCTAGAAGAAAACATGGGCCATAAATTCTTTGACATCACTCTTAGAAATATTTTTAAAGATATTTCTCCTCGGGCAAGGGAAACAAAAGAAAAAAATAGACAAATGAGACTAGAACAAAGTAAAAACTTTTTATACAACAAAACTAAAAGATAACCTACTGATTGGAAGAATATATTTGCCAATGATATATCTGATAAGGGGTTAATATCCAAATTTTATAAAGAATTTATACAACTTAACATCAAAAAACAAATAATATGGTTTAAAAATGGGCAGAGGATTTGAATAGAAAATTTTTCAAATAGGATATGTATGGTCAATAGACATATGAAAAAGTGCTCAACCTTACTAATCATCAGGGAAATGCAAATTAAAACCAAATGAAATATCACCTCACACCTGTAAAAATGACTATCATCAATAAATCAACTAATAACAAATGTTTTTTCATAGGTATCTTAATTTTTTTTGTTGCAATGGTAAATGGGAGTGTTTTTGTTGATTTTCTTTCTGTGAGTTCATTATCCTATACTAGAGGCCCAATGCACGAAATTTGTGCACGGGGAGGGGGGAGGAGGAGTGTGTGTGTCCCTCAACCCAGCCTGCACCCTCTCCAATCTGGGACCCCTCGAGGGATGTCTGACTGCCTGTCGAACATCCCTCTCACAATCCAGGACTGCTGGCTCCCAACCACTCGCCTGCCTGCCTGCCTGATTGCCCCTAATCACTGCTGCCTGCCAGCCTGATCACCCCATAACCACTCCTCTGCCAGCCTGATCGATGCCTAACTGCTCCCCTGCCTGCCTGGACCCCCTATCTGCCCTCCCCTGCAGGCCTGGTCACACCTAACTGCCCTCCCCTGCTGGCCCGGTCACCCCTAACTGCCCTCCCTTGCCAGCCTGGTCCCCCCCAACTTCCCTCCCTTGCAGGCCTGGTCCCCCCCCAACTACCCTCCCCTGCAGGCCTGGGTCCCCCCAAACTGCCCTCCCCTGCAGGCCTGCATCCCCCCCAATTGTCCTCCCCTGCAGGCCTGGGTCTCCCCCAACTGCCCTCCCCTGCTGGCCATCTTGTGTTCACATGGGGGCAGCCATCTTGTGTGTTGGAGTGATGGTCAATTTGCATATTGCCTCTTTATTATATAGGATAATAAAAGGGTAATATGCAAATTGTCCAAACAGTAGAAGGACCAGTCGGTGGGGGGCAGGGCTAGCAAGCAGGTGGCGCCAGGACAGCCAAGGCAGGTGCCAGCGGGCAGAAGGAGGGGACGGCAATTGGGGGGCAGGGAAAATAGCAATATTCAAATATTTCTTCTAATTAATTCACTTCCAATGTGCCCAAATTCGTGCGCCAGGCCACTAGTTGGTGTATAAAAAAGCCATAGGTTTCCAGGTGTTAATTTTGTATCCTGCTACGTTACTGAATTCATTTATTAAATCTAGTAGTTTTTTCATGGATTCTTTAGGGTTTTCAATGTACAATAACATGTCATCTGCGAATATGTTAGGTGATCTTAAGACTGCCATCAGCTTTGTTTGGAATGCAATGAAGTATGATAGAGTAGAAAATGCATGGGCCAAATGCTGGGTTTTAATATTGGCAACGTCATTCATAGGCTTAAAAAATTTTGTGGGAAATTGGCTTTATTTCTCTGTCTTAATTTTCCTCTCTCTCTTTTTCTATTCATCATCTATCCACCCATTCACAAATACATATAAATATAATTATAGGAAAGAGTTAAAATATTGAATAACTTTTATTGTGAGCGTAACACAATGTCTAAAATGTTGTGCTCAGTAAACAAATACTGGTTTATTCTCCCTGACCCCCAATCCACCTGCAAAATACCTAAAGGGGAAAGTATAAATTTTAAGCAAGATACTTCATTTCAACTAATTATATTTGCTTCCAGATCTTTCCTGCTTTATTTCCTCTTTATCTATATAATAATTAAAAAGTATCTTATAACAGTATTATTCATAATAGTCCAAAACTAGAAAATGTCCAAATGCCCATTAACTGATGAATGGATTAATAAAATATGATATATTCATACAGTAGTATGCTATTCAGTAATAAAAGTATTGAAACATGCTACAACATGGATTCACATTAAAAACAGTATGCTAAGTGAAAGAAGCTATCACAAAAGACCACATATTGTATGATTCCATTTATGTAAAATGTCCAGAATAGGCAAATACATACAGACTAAAAGTAAGCTAGGGGTTTCCAGGGACTGCGGAGGAAAGGAGAAATTAAGGGATTGATTGCTAAATGGGTATGGAATTCCTATTGAAGGTGATGAAAATATTCCAAAATTGATTAATGGGGAAAGTTGCATAACTCCATGAATATATTAAATACCATTGATTTGTTCACATTAAGTTGGTGAATTATATGGTATCTGAACTGTATCTTAAAGCTGCTATAAAACTAAAAGGACTGTGTAAGTGTAGTATGCTAAAGATAATGCTATTTATCTTAAGGATTTCTGCTACATATCCTGTGTTGCAAAGGAAGGTAGTATAGTAACAACTATTTAATTGCTTTAAAATTAAGTGTTGTAAATGCTGTTATTTCTTTTCCTCAATAATTATTCAAAATCTTCAGTTAGTGAAAGGAGAAAATGGCTTGTACAAAATTAAGCTTATTTAGTTAACAATGCTGAATTGTGTTGATAAATATAATTTCATCGTTTTAGGTCTTAAACCTAGTGCAGTCGTATGTGACTCTTCGAGTCCCTCTGTATGTTTCCTACGTGTACCATTCCCCTGTTGGAGTAGGAGGTTGGCAGCATTTTGACTTGAAGTCAGAACTTCGTCTAACTTTCGTGTATGACACTGCCATCTTGTGGAATGATGGAATTGGCAGCCCACCAGAAGCTGAACTCAAAGGTGGGAAAATGTACCGATTTGAATTACTTAAGAGGACTTTTTATAGCAGCTAAAAGTCATAAAAGCCAACTTTTAGTGAATTTATTTTTATAGTCAACATTTTCTGATAATTTTATTTTTATCATGAAAATACTTTATTTTAAATAAATCTTATCAGTGCCTCAAGTTTTGTGTAATATGTGACTGTTAAATGTAATATCTATATTTCATGGACATTTAACTCTCATAGTCCATTTTAGGTGATTAATTATTTATATGTTACACAACACAATCTGTATAGGTCCCTAGATTCCAGAAAAATGAATGTATCAAAAAAGAGGTAGTATCAATTGAAAATAAAGAATTAACTCAAGAGAAGAAAGTTACACATTTTTGTTTCTGAAAATGGGAGTTGCATTTTAAAGTCCTGGGTTCTAATTTTGGCTCTACAGCTAATCAATGGTGTGATCTTGAACATATTGCTTACCCTGTATGGCACTCAGTTTCTTCTGAAAGGTAGACTAGACTTCCAATATTCTTTTTATTTTAAAACTAGAGGCCCGATGCACGAAATTTGTGCAAGAATAGGCCTTCACAGCTGCGGCAGCTGCCTCGATCCCTCCCTAGCTGCTGTGGCGGCTGCCTCGATCCCGAGGCTGCAGCCCCAGCTTCGTCCGGAAGGTCATCCGGAAGGACATCCAGACAGTCGTTTGGTTGATTTGCATATTATGCTTTTATTATTATAAATTCTATTATTCTTTGATACTTTAGCAGAATGTTTGGAATAATGTGGTAAGTGCCAATAATTATTGGGCCCATAAGCATCTACAAAATTTTGTCTCAATCTCCATGTCAGAATCATAATTCAAAATCCATAAGCATAAAGCTAATTAATCTATTAGTAGAATTAGTGCTATTTCTCTTTAAGCACATACCACTGTTCTAGTTCCATGTGTGTCTGAGCCTCATGCCTGAATTACTTTTTATGAGCCAAAGGGAAAATACTGTTGATAATACATCTCAAAATCTTCTGTCTTAAATAAATTAAAATTACCTGAAAGCCATGTGTGAGGTAATATGTTCATCCTGAACAATTATTCTAGATTATTTGACATATTTTAATTCCATGTTTTCTCTTCTGCCTCTCCTATCACTCAAAGGGTGTTAACCCTTTGGCTAGAATGCTTAAAGATGAGGTAAATCTATCTGGCCAGTGTGATTCAGTTGGTTGAGTGTCATTCCATGCACCAGGAGGTCTTCGGTTCAATTCCTGGTTGGGGCACATGCCCAAGTGTGGGCTTGATCCTCAATATGGGGTATGCAGGAGGCAGCAGATTGATGTCTCTCCCTCATCAGTGTTTCTCTCTCTCTCTCCCTCTCTCTCTTCCTCTCTCTGAAATCAATAAAAACATATTTTTTTAAAAAGATGAAGTGAATCTGAACTCATATTTGGAAGAAATCCTGTACATTAGCATGCCTGATCATCAATATTGCTACTCTTGTATGCTACCCCATTGTAGGTTCTCTGTATCCAGCTAGCATGCGCATTGGTGAAGAGGGGTGCTTGGTTGTGAACTTCAAGACAGAAGCTAAATTCCATGGCTTGTTTGTGCTGTCACATCCTGGTAAGCCCCATTACTCATTAATAGCCACTCCCAATACCACAAGGGTAGACTTTTCCATATTCACACATATTTCCATGCTTCCTTGTGGGCTTTGAAGTCCTTAATTTCAAATTAATTGCATGGATGCAATTATCTACATGAAGGCTTGATAATTTTTTGGCTACATCTCATTATCTACAAAATCATCATTATCTATGTAGACTTTTAGAGAAAATACAAAATGATTAAAGTAAATGTAAAAGAAAACTCTATTGAGTTTATTTAAATAAAATTTTCCTTAAAGAGCATAGCAACAACAATCTCCTTTTCTACTTCAATTCCACTGTACAAAAATAAATGAATTATAATTTATTTGTTCAGAAAGGACTTCTCTTTTCATAACTGTTTTATAGGTATGTAAGAAACCTTTATAATTGAGCCAGAAGTATCACTTCACTGTTGTACTTAAGTTTCAGACATGTTACCTTTAATTATTGGCTATGTAATTTTACTAACTGATGGACTGTGATTTGAATATCAATAAGGTAGCAGTCACTAAAGTCCCATGTCAAAGCTTTTTTTAAATATAAAGGACATTTCATTAAAAAAATTTTCATGATGC